TAGCCTTTTTATTGGGTTTTGGAATGCACTGTCCAAGGTTGGCCTTGTTCTTGGCAGAAGAACGACATTCCTTATTGTCCCAGCTTTTCCTGTGTGCCTCCCCCTTAATCAGCTAGAGTGAGAGGTGACGGGGAGTCACTGACATTGCCCAGCCCTAACCCAGTGGTTAAGCACCTTTTGGGAGGGCGAGGCTGGGGGTGGGTCTGCTCCCCCTCTAGCCTAGCCAGTCCAAGACCTGCAATTAACCCTGAGTTGGCACCACAACCGACCTGACTCATGAAGGGTGGACATGAACTCGAGGTGGAAGGTGGTTAAAAAAGACATCTCTCTCTGGATCTTAGGCCAGAGGAAGCTTTGGGATTTGGTGGGTGGAGGGGCATAAATTGTGGGTATGCCAGGGACCCAGACAGCTACTATTCCCCCGTGGGCAGGTCTCTAGTCCCTGTCTGGGGTTTGGGATTCTTCTGGTCCACCTGAAGGGTGGTTAAGTCATATTGTTTCCTTTCCTCCTTACCACCACATACACATACTGTGGTCTCCTTGGCCCTACAGCTCATCTCATGTCTTGAGACATAAAGGAAGCCACCACATCCACAAAGGGAAACAGCACCAGATCACTGCCCTAGAACCAGCCCTTTCTCTGAACTGGGTTTATCCTTTCTGACCCCCAACTCTAGCCATTCCCTAGCTCCTCATTTTTGCAAGCAGCAAACATGTCCCATTCTGCTCCTATATCAGCAGAATTTATTTACTGAGGAGGAGGAGGTCAGTAGCTGCCCCACTGTCTATCCCCTTTCTCCTCAGGAACTAGCCCCTTCTATTTAATTAAATCTCTAAGGCAGCCTCAAAGGAATGCTTCTGGCTTATTGCATTCCCTTGGGAACTGTCTGCCACCACCTGGGTCAGCACCCAGTGTTGACTCTTGATTCTCTCCACCCCCCCTCTCCAGAGTTCCCCCTCTCAGACTGGGGTTCCCAAAGCCAGAGGAGCTGCCACAGGACCTCTCGCCCACCCCAGGTGCCTGGAATGAGGAAAACTCCCTGGCCAGGCCTGCTTAGGGGAAAAGCAATCCGGCTGTCTCAGGAATGTGGAAGCTGATAAAAAAGGAGGGCTGAGCTTTGGAGCTCCTCCCTCTGCCTTTTCCCTAAGCCTCCCCCAACATACACTCCCCCCCACAGATGCACTCTTGAACAGTCACGTGCACCCCAGACACAGGCCCACGCGCCGAAGCACACCCACTAGGCCACGCTCCCTCCTCCAGACACACGCACACAAACACAGCCGCCCCCTTTCTCCAGAAACTCATTCGAATTCCTATGTGATGAGGGGAGCGGGTTTTCTTGGCAGCACCACCCCTCTGGCTCCCCAGCCCTTGGAGGCAGGAGCTGTGCTCCCAGGGTGCAGGGTGAGGGGTTCCTGAGGGCAGCCCAACAGAGCTTAAGCTGGGGCAGGGTGGATGGCACATTTACAGGGGGCGGGTGGGGGGGTGCTAGGTAGAGGCTAGTCCAAGAACTGACTGGTCAGGGAACGACTAAGGGAATAACACTGCCTTTCCTTCCTATGCTCCAGGCAAGTCTCAGTGCCCAGGAAAGATGTGATAAAGAACCTCCCTCCCTAGGCATCCTCATTGCTCTCTTCTCTGCTCCACGTGGGAGTATTATTTCCCTCCTGGCTCCTGGAAGCTTGTCCTCCTTTGGCTATTGGGCTCAAGAAAAGGGGCATGAGTTCTCACCCATTCCTCTCAAAAAGCAAAATCCTCTGCTGGAGTAAAATGATCCTAAGGCCCTTTAGATCTCTGCTCCTTGCCGTTCCTGGGGCTAGGTAAATTTCCCTAAGGAGCCTAACTGTAATCATATGGTGGTCATAATTAGGCTGCTTCATGTTACCAATAAGAGCATGACTGGTCTTGATTTAACATAAAGAGAACCAGTGTTTAAGGCTATCAAAAAAAAAAAATAGAATGGCTCTCTTGTAAGGTAGTGAGTTCCCTGTCACTAGAGGTCTTCAAGCAAAGGCTGGATGACCACTCATCTGGGATACTGTAGAGGGGTTGGACTAGATGGCTGTCACGTCCCTCCAGCTCTGAGATTTTGGGGGTGCTTCTCTTGCTCTCAGAATCGGATCCTGAGGTCTGAGATTTAGAGTACAAAGAAGTCTTAGATGCCCTTTACTCCAACCCCTCCCCCCCATTTTACTGAGGCCCAGGGACGTTAAGGGACTTGCTCATTGTCATACAGTGGCATTTGATTCTGGATCCAGAACTCTCCACTACCCCACACTGCCTCCCTCTGATGGAGCTCAAGAGCCAGGCACTCTGGCAAGAAGGAAGTACAGTCTCTTAGTGAGGACGGAACCTGGACAGTGCTCTCGGGTGGCTCGCTGCATCTGCCTGGTACTTGGACAAGGACTGATACAAGATTTGTCTCTGAATCCCGAGGTGAGGCTCGGTGTAAGCCTCTTGAGCCCTCCATGTACTTACTCCCTAGGTCAGGAATTTTGCTTCGGGGATCAGCAGGGGTTTCTACCTCCTACAGCCTTCACACTTTACTGAAATGGCTCTTTGGGTCTCAGTTTCTTTTTCTGTAAAATGAGGGAGTTTGACTAGATGACTTCTGAGGTTTCTTTCAGTAATAAATCCTCTCATCCGTTCTATACCTCCTCCCTTTAGGGGCCACATGGCAATATTCTAGGACCTTTCTTCCCTACCTGTACACTTCCAGCTCTGGCTCACCCTCCAGGTCAGGGTTTCTTCTCTGCCACTGCTGCTTCCACCCCAAACCCCACAAGCTTTTATCCTAGGGTGTACTCGGAGCATCGGTCTGGACAGTACTTCAGCTTCCTAGCCCCACACATTCCAGGCCCCCATGCTCACAGCCTGGCACATACATGCACCCACATCTCTCTTGCCTTCCCTCCTCTCAGGCCCTCCAAGCCAGATAATACTCTGGAGGGAGTCCAGCCGGGCTGCTTATTAACAGAACCCTCTTCCTGCCTCTGACACTCTGTTTACAGAATCTCCAGGGTCTAACTCGACAAAGGGAGAAGAAAATAAACAAGGCAGGAGAATGGGGGCTGCTTCCCTGTCCCTGGCCAACCAGTACCTCTGCTACTATCCCTGACTCTCCCCTCCCCCAGCCAGCCCTACTGGACCCTCCAAACATCCCATCTCTTAGCATAGCATTCATTTTGAGCTAGGATTCCCCCCAGCTCCCACCCCACCTCCTTTAAAACCAGGATTCCTGAGCCTTAGGGACCAATACAGGCCACTTCTTGCCTATTGTAATGGTGCTCCTCCAACAAGCACTGAGTGCTCAGGGAAGAGCACTTCATGTGTCTGTATTCTCACAAGGACTTCCTCCTCACTCTCATCCCCAGCACACTTGTTTGGGCTGTTCTGTTTGGCCACCCACTCCTGAAGGAGCCAGTACTTCATAGAACAGAGAAGGTTAAAGCCGGAAAAATAACTAAAAAATCATGGAATCCAATCCCCTCATTTTTACAGAAGAAAAAACTCAGTTTCCAAAGAATGGAGTGTCTCACCAAAGGTCACCGAGATGAACTGAGACTAGAACCCAGGAATCACGAATTCTAGTACAGTGCTGCCTCCAACACACCATACAATCAACCTCTCAGCATCAGGGCAGGGAGAGAGCTCTGTCCTCCATTACCCCAGATCGGGACCCCAAGAAAGGCAACAGGAATATTAATGCCTCACACTGTTGGAACTGCTGGACAGAGAGAAACCACAGAACCCAGAAACCCTAGTGCTGTAGAGTTGATTGACTCCCAGAATTGTAATCATTAATAATTGGAGAGGAAAGTATATAGGAATGCTGCTACTTCCCTGTTGGAGCTGTTGGGCCCATTCAGCAGTGGCCAAGGCAGTTGGATCTTATCAGGGTTTCGGTGGTGGCTCTGATGGGGACAAGTGATAAGGAGACTGGGCACTGGATCATTAAGTTGGAAACCTGGAATTATTACACTTCTCAGAGACCCCTGAGGCTCTTCTCTGCAGAAGTGGAAGGGTTGGGGTGGAACACAGTCCTCAGTGTCCCTGTCTTCTGACCACTCTCCAGTACCAATCCAGATTTACAAGCTCTAAGGCTGTTCAGGGGGTCCCATGGGAGGAGGCAGAGCTGCCAAAAGGAGTGCCTTAGCTAAGGCCAAGGCATCTCAGGATTGGGGGCTGAGGATGAGAATGGCCACTCTCTGGAGATCAGTCAGACCTGGAGAGCTGAATTATAAAAGGCACTGCCCTCAGATCATCCACGTTTACAGAAGTTGGTCTGGCCCAAACTCCCAAGAAAGAGGAGTGCCCTCCACCCCCACCACACATATAGGGAACCTAGACGGGGGGAGTAAAGGGAGACAGACACTTCCTGGCCATCTCAGTAGGCTTTAATTCATAAAACTGGTAGAAGCCTACAGGAACAGTTGGCGGGAGGGATCGGGGTGGTGGTGTTTATTTTGTCTATCAACGTGTGTGCAGTATACACATAAGTGCACACATGCACAGCCCCGGGACAGGCAGGAGCTCAGGAGCGGTGCGTCGGTCAGTGACCTGTGGGGAGCTATTAAGTTTCTAAAGCAGTGAGGAAGTCTAGAAGGAAAGCCTTTATGATGATTGAGTCTGGGGAGAGGATATGTGTGTGTGTGTGTGTGTGTGTGTGTGTGTGTTCTCTAAGGTTAAATCCAGGTGTGGGTAAAAATAGTTTTGTATCACCCCTCTAAGTTTGTTGTGAGAGGTCTTTGGGTGTCCAGGTGTGTGTGTGTGTATGTGTGTGTGTTGGTGAGTGCGCGCGCGCGTGCGTAATTTATCCTGTTTCTGGATAAATCTCCAGTTTCTTGGAGTCTGCCCAGTCCGCGGGCTGTGTCAGCAAGATTTTTCGCTCCCCTCCCCTCCCCGGCCGCCCCAGCCTGACTCTGAAGCCGGGCGGGAGAGGAGCCCGATGTGGAGCACCCCGGGCAGCCCCTGGCCCCGCTGTGGGGCTCGCACTCACCGGCGCAGGCGGCCCAAGGCAGGATCGGGGGACTCTTCTGGCTGCAGCCGCTTCGGGGCTTGGGCCGGAGGATCGCTGGCGGGCGGGCGGCGCTTCAGTCCATCCCCGCCACGGGCCAGGGAGCGGGGCTCCGGAGCTGAGAAGCTGGGGCCCCGGAGCCGTCTCTTCCGTCTCCCCGCCCCCTGACTCGGGCTCTGTGGGCGCTGGAAGGGGCTGATTGAGGCCTTAAGAATGGAGGGGGGTGGAGCCGCAGCTCTCGGCAGGCTCCCCATTGGCGGAGGGGAAGGAGGGAGGTGGGGAGGGAAGAAGTGCCCTTTTCATCGGTGTGGATTGACGGCAGATTGCGGTACCTGGGGGTAGGGGGAAGGCGGGGGCAGACCCTACTGCCTTTTCTCCTTCCTCCCCCATTTCTCCGGCGCTGGCCTGCCTGCCTGGGGCCCTTTGGGCCAGAGGGAAACAGGCATCTTTCTTTCCCCTGCTTGGCTCGGGGAGAGCTAAGGGAAAGGAGGCAGTATGCGAATGGTAGTGGTCGCCTGCATTCAGGAAGGCATTCGACTTTTTACCCTAAAATGCTTCCACATGTTTTGTGGTTTTCTCTTCACATCGGCTGGGTGAGGTAAATGGGAGCAGATCATTCCGCGCCTTGTCCTGTCACAGATTCCCCGTGACTCTTACTTAGCAAGGCAGTAATTCTCTCTGGGCCTCAGTTTCCTCATCTTTCAAATGAAAGACTTGAACTAGGTTATCCCTACGATCCTATGGAGCTTGGTGGTTCAGTGGGCTTATGATTGTTTCCTCCTGTTTTACAGATAGGAAAACTCTGCCAAGTGGCAAAGTGATTCGCACAGTATTTAGTGGTAAATTTGGATTTAGAAGCTGATGAGATTTGGGAAAGAGTTCAGTCTACTATATTCAATGGGGTGTTGGGGATCCTGCTGGAAGCCTCACTATAGGATGGAGCCAAGCTCTCAATCTATTAGAGCCCCAAGGGGCCCAGATCAGTCCAGAAATTCCCAGCCCCAAGGATTCCAGGAAAATGTATCATTTCTGCCGTCTTCCTTTCTGTCTCCTCCCTGGGGCTTTGAATCACCAACTCCTAGTCCTGGGAAGTAGAGTTAATTTGGAAACCACCAAGGAAACCTGGAAGCAAAACAAAAGTGGGGTCTTCATAGCCAGAAATTCCCCATTCCCTGTTACATACACACCTTGAAAAGAGACATCACTGGTAAGACCTCCTTCCCAGGAATCTTACTTTTCATCTTTCTCTGCAGACATGTCTAAAGAGTTGTGCTTGGACCCGTGCTTTTGCCCCACCTTCTCACTCACTTCTCTCAGAGGGACTGGAATGCAGGTCAGCAAATACTCGGGAGATTTAAAATGCTTTTTTTTTTTTAATTGGTCCCAGATAGACAGTCTGGACATAATAGAGACAGTATGGTGTAGTTGAAGGAGCCCTGGATTAAGAATCAGACTGGGTTCCAGTTTCGATTCTGACAGTTAAGTGACATTGAGCAAGCCGCTTCATTTTTTGGGCTTCAGTTTCTTCATCTGAAGACGAATAAGGGTAATAATACTACCTACCTCACAATGTTATTGTGAGAAAGATGCCTTGCTAATGGTGAAGCATTACATAAGTTAGTAGTAAGAATAATAATTCTGGGGCAGGTATTTAGCATAACTTGTCAGATCTACTTAATATAGGCTCTTCTCACCTTAACCTGTCTCCGTGACTCTTCACAGACCCTACTTATTCCTCCATTTTTCACCTCAGCCTCACGTCAGTGCTTCCTTCCAGAGGTCAGCTACCTGATCCAGAGTCCCTGTCTCTATGGTCCCTCCATTTCTGCCTTCACCTCCAGTAGCTCACCTTCACTCTTCTTCTAGCCTCTTGCAAGTGTGACTTAGTGGGATTTTCATCCTGCCACCTCTATCAGATGTATGTACTTCTGGAATGGAATAAATTCCTTGGCCAGTTATAGCGAAAGAATCAGCATGGTGTGTGGTATCAAGAACCCTGGACTTGGATTTGGAAGATGTGGCTTTGATTTCTGGCTCTGACACTTATTAATACATGACCTTGCGTAAATCACTTTACTTTTCTGGTTAGAGTTGCCCGACTATCTCACCAAGCTGTTAGGAAGAGAGAACTTTGTAAACCACAAAGCACTTCATAAATGTGAGGTCTAATTATTTGGCAAAGTCTTCTGACAGGGCAGCTTTGCCCTGGACTTAGCCTGAGCCCTCAGATGGTATCTTAAAAGTGTTGGCCTTAACTATGGGGGCCAGAAGTTTGTGAAACAGGGGAGAGGAGAAAGATAATAGTATTCAGTCACCTCATTTTACAGATGAGGAAGCTATCCCTTTCTGTTCGTCACTTACTTTCTTTTAAATGAAGGGGTTGGATTAGGGTCCTTCCAGCTCTAATGTTCTAGGGGACCACTTTGGAACTAGAGAGCCAGGTGGCATTGGAGCAACTAACAGCTGGGATTTGAGCCCTGATCAGATGGGTTTGATGTACCTCAAATGCCACTCCACACTGTCACTAGGGCTTTAGGGAAGGTGAAGCTGGACCATCCGCCTTTATTCCCACTAGCCCTCACCTTGATTTAAGCAGAGCAGGTATACAGTGCACATAGAAAGAACTGTGGCTCCCCAGACCCTCTTTGGACAGATGAGGCCTGGAAATTCACAGTTGTTCTGCCCAGCAGGTAGGATCAGAAGTCTGGGCTCTAAGATGCAGAGTCTGGAATTTCTAAAGGTTGGCACTTGCCTCCCTCTACCAGGCCTGGAGGGCCAAGGCCTGATGCTACAACCTGTTGGCTCAACCCTTGGGGCCAGATTCCATGGCCCCATTTCCAGGCCCGTGCTAGGACCTGGGTGGGGATGTTGCCTTTTGGTGTAGCTGCCTGGGCACTCATGTCTATGGTGGGGGGGAGGAAGAGAAGGGGAAATAGAACTGGCCTGACCAGTTTGAGGAGAAGGCCTTGCCCTTCATAACTTCCTGTCCTCTTGCCCCCCAGTGCCTGAGTCATTGTGCTGGAACAGGTGCCAGACTGGTTGGGCAGCTGACCCAGTGAGAGCTGTGGCCCTCCTCTTGTTGGTTGCTGGAATGTGTGCCCAGGACTCTAAGTTCCATGAACTTAGGAGATGAAAGGACTCAACATTGTCAATGCCAACTGATTCAGAAGAGTTCTGGGTGGTAGGAGGCATTCACATAGGCCAGAGGAATGAGGTCCATCAGTGGCCCAGAGACTCTACACTGCCCTCTCTGATCCTTCCCCTGTCAATCAAAATGTTCCACAGGTACACATTTCCAAGCTTTTGCTAAGCAGGTAGGGAGGTGTTAGCTCTCTCCAACTGCTTCCTTCCCATCCTTCTACCCCCTGCCCAGCTCAGTCAAAATAGATGTACCAAGCTCTTCTCTCTGCCTCCTTGGAACCTGGTACAGATAGCCTCCACCCCCATTTCATTCCCTGCTTAAATGGGGCATGAGATTTCTCCTGCTCTCCATCCTGACCCAGTTTAAGATGCAGCTAGTTCTGGTGTGGAGAGCACTCCTCAATGGACAGTTATTAAGCACCTGCTAGCAGCTGGGGGGGCATCAAGAAAGGCTTCTCACAGGGGGTGACATGGCATTCCAAGCATAGAGGACAGCTAGTCAAAAGCATAGAAGATAGAGTGTCACAAGTGAGGACCCCCCAAGAAGGCAAGCTTGGTTAGAGCCTCTGCCCACAATTTAAGAAGCACTGAAAAGGTTTTAAGTGGAAAAAGTTTAGGAAGCCCTGGGCTAGACCATAGAGCACAGGAAGAAGAATAATATGCAGGATATGCAAAAACTCTTAATGCTGTTTTAAGCTATTTGAGCTTAAAATGGCACCAAAATTTTGGGGACACCTTGTATAATAAGCCTGGAAAAGTTGGGTTTGGGTCAGATTTTCAGAAGAGCTTTACATGCCAAACAAGTTTACATTTAATTTTAGAGGCAATAGGGAGCCATTGAGGATTAGACCTGTGTTTTAGGAATATCACTTTAGCAGCTGTGGGGAAGATTGACTGGAGAAGGGAAAACTTGGCTATCACCTAATACTTCCAAGTGTGAGCTCCCTGTTGGAAAAAAAAACAAAAGTAAAGGTAAACCAGTATTCTGGGATAACCCGTCCAAAACTCCTGAAGTCGTAACGTGTTCTCTGCTGCCAGCTCAAAAGGCTGGTCAGTGTCTAGCAATTGGAATGAGTCAGGAAGGGTAGGAACCAAGCCTGTCCAGGGACTTCTCCAAGAAAATTGGGAACAGGAGACAGAACCCTTTTCCTCAGGTCTTCCAGGGTCCCTGGCTAGAGCTCTGCTCCCAGATCAATTGTTTTTTCTCAAATAGGAAAATAGAGGTAGCTTCAGCCCCCTCCAGCTCACTGGCTGTAGGGGAGGTATAGTGAGTATATATGTCCTGCATGTAAGTGTGATACTGTGTATTTGATTCGCGACTGTTGGATAGAGTCCTAGCCTAATATGGGCCACAGTCATGATATCACCACCAGGGTCTTCACTTTTAGATTTTTGCATTTGGGACTATAAAGCTTTCAGGCTACTGAAGAAGGAGGGTGTATACCCCAGGATGGGTACTATCCATGCCCTCTAAATTTGCTGCCTCTGGGCAAAGTCCTAGTGACCTTAGCCTACTTACTGCTCTGATCACCATACTACCAGTAATCCGTGTCCCAACTCCCACTTGGCTACTGCTGGCCAAGACCGGGCCCAAACTTCCCTGGGGTGAAGGTACATGAATCTCAAGTTGTTTGGGGTGTGGGTGCGAGGTGGGGTGTGCAAGAAGAGGCTACAGGACTTCACCTTGTTATGAGAGGAATCAGTAACACCAGCAGTTTCTGGATGTGGGTGACCAAGAGCCTGGGTCTCAAGTCTATAAATGTCTTTGTAACTGCATTTATGTTTAACTGATTATATGTATGTTTTTCTTCCTGTGACCATGTAACTTCCTCTATGTATGTGTCACATGTGGTCATATATGTGTGTGACTGTGTGATTCTGTAGATGTGGTCATGACTATATTTGTGCATATATGCCTGTATACGTATAACTGAGCAGGTACATGAATGACTGTGTATGACTATATGAGACTATGTGTTGTAACTTTGCACTTGTATGTGTTTGTGATGTTACCACAT